AAATCAGCAAAAGACTCAGAAGTACAGGCTGTAAAAGCTTCCATTTTGTTTCCTTAAAACTGCTCGGCTAGTCACTCATTGAGTCACTTTAGAAGCCTTTACTTCTAGACATGACTTTAAAGGACCATAATATGCCTAATTTCGATAGAAATTTGTATTGACTTATCTTAATTAAGTTTACAGTCAGACACCAATGGTTGTTAGACTCACCTGAGGAAGGTGCTTCAAGATCCTCAAAAAGCAGCCAGATAAACCCATTATAAAGGTTTTTACAAGACCCGTCCACGTTCAATGCTAGTATTCAACGGGCATATAACTAAACTGAAAGCCTGCAGAGATCTTTCGGCACTTAAAGGTTACTCTAGAAAGTTCATCTGCCACAATGGTTCCATCAACAGAATTGTCAGACATACTCAAAGACAAGACCTTCAAGTAGCCAACTGAAACAGAAATGCCTCGCACCAGGTGAAGGAGGTTCATGTTACCATAACTGATGCCCATACAGTTACTACCAATTTCACCAAGCCATTCATCTAAACTGACACTTTAATAAGGAGAAAGAGCTCCACTAATGCAAACATTCGATTGTTTTCAGCAAATCCCCGCCCCAAAGAGCCGCACAATCACTTAAGTAAAAAGAGTCACATATCCATTTCTCATCGCTGTTAGCAAGCTCGGGGACTTGCAACTCGCAAAGGGTTCTCTTCATCATAAAACAAACCATGAGAGCTTATAGCATCTCTCCATAAGCGTGGCCGAAGTTGCATTGCTTGCCAAAGAAGCAAGTCACAATGAAAATTCACAACCTTTACATATTCCAACCCCATCTGTCATCATATACGCATGGTATCGTAGAAAAATCTTTTCTGCACAGTCATTTCTACCATGTCATTATTGCAGATAACATGTTCTTAAACTTATGTCGACAAGAGTTAATTCAAGCCACTTGGAACTCACGCATTCCTCAAAGCATTCCCTACCATTCCCAAAATGCTGATATTCACTCGAACATGCCATCTCGCAGGTCACATAGGTAATTGAAAAGCGATTCGTTTTAACCAACTCATGGCCGTGCCACTCCCACCAACAACAGAACTGTAAACAAACAAGGCGTCACCTAAAAATTACCGGTTCTGAGTAGTCGGTCGAGGAACCGCGTCCCGACGGCATCGTAAACCCTGCGCAGCGAGCCGAGGTCGTCCCCTTCGCAGAACTTCGTCACCAGGAGAAGGCCCGCTAGGCGCTGCTCGTCCCTCTCGCCTTTCAACAGCCTGAGGCAATCGTCGAGCGACGGCGGCGGCGACTGCTCCTGCTTCTCCGGCGCCGCCTCCTGCAACCGCAGAGCATACCAGTGAGCATCGAAAACGCAACTCCTTCCATATTCCGGCCGTGCGCCAAGACTGCAGCTCGACCGTTCGATGAAATGCCGCAGAGAAAGCTGCTGCTGCTCACCATCTATGCAGAAGTCGTCGAGGGTCGAGCTCCGGATGCTCGATGAGATCGTCGAGGAGGAGGAATTGGCAAATGGCCCGGCGGATTTTCGGGTTCCTGGTTCGTCTTCCGCTTTCCCACCGTTTTGAGTAGACGCTTCGAGAGCAGTCTTCACGAGCCGGGGTTCGTACGGAAAATCGACGGTCAAGGACGAGGTCGGCACGCCCCTTGCCGAATAAGGACACAGCGTCCGAGCTGGCTTGAGATGCAATCACTATTTACGTGTCTGCCCCCTTTTGTTTTGCTGGGCGACTCTGCCCCTCTTACGTTTCTGAAAGCGCGAACCCCTAATTTAATAAGTGACTCACTATCTAAATAAGTAAAGAAAAGTACCAAAAAATTCATAAATATATTATATTGATATTACTTTAATTATAAATATTTTAATTAGATCAATTTAATCATAAATATTTTTCACATTGACACCAATTTCGTCCTTACGTTCAATTAAAGTTGAAAATTGCTGAAGTGAACGTTGACTATCCTACGTGCCACGATCGATACTAACGTGAATGTTTTTTAATAATTTTTTTTTCTGTTTTTGCTTTTGCTTTTCCTTTTGCTACTGGCTGGCCACAGTCCATGGCTGGCAAGGACAAGAGCTGGAGCTTGCCTTTACCCAGGTGCGGCTTGTTGAGGCCGACCCTCGCCAACCATGGCCGGTGGCTAGGGGTGTCAACGGTTCGGTTCGGTTCGATTTTACTGAAAAACCGAACCGAACCGAACCGACAGGAGTGCACCCTTGAACCGAACCGAATCTTGCTCAAATCGAACCGAATTTTTCTTTCGGTTCGGTTCGGTTTGGTTCGGCTCGACTTTCGGTTTCTTCCTCTTTATTTTATTTTTTTGCTTTTTTATATTTCGGCAGATTCTTAGCTGAATCCACTCTCTGATCTGACCTCACCCACTCTCTCTCTCTCTACAGTCCCCACAAACCGAACCCATCTGTTCCTCCGTCGCCATCGCCGTCACTCTCTCTGCCCTCGTCCTCTTGGTGGCCGCCCTCCTCGTCCTTCGCCGCCATCGCCGGAGTCGGGACTTCACCGACAATGCCAAGACCCAGAGATTCGACGCCACGAATGGTGATTTGCCGGGCAATGCCGAGGTGAACGCTCGCGCTCGCAAGCAGAGGAGGACCTCTGGAACCAGCTCCGAGTTCCTCTACTTGGGGACCATGGTGAACTCTCGTGGGATCGAGGAGCCGCTCGGCAATGGAGGAAGCGGAACGGCTCGCCGCGGCGGTGGCGGAGGAGGTCTGGACCTGAGGAAGATGGACTCTCTGGAGCTCCAGTAGGAAATTGATGAATCAGCAACGAAGAAGAAGCATAATCTGTCGTCATCACTCACTCAGACCACAATCCAATCTCACAAACCTCAACACCCCTTTCCTCTCCGTCTCCATCTCCATCCTCCAACCTCCCCTCTTCCCGCCTTGCACCTTCCGCTCTCCCCTCCAGATCTACCACCCCCTCAGCCCCGCCGCTCTTTCCCCAGCGAGATCTGACCCCACGCGCCACCATAGCAACTGTCGGGACCATGGTCGTCTCCGGGAGGCCGATGAAGCGCATGAAGAGGCGAGTGACGGCCAACCTCTTGGACTTCCTTACCTTGCCCTCCTCGTCCATCGGCGGGGTAGGGGGTCTCTTCAGGGTAGGGAGTCACGGCCGCCGCCGCCGTCGGTGTTCGCCAGACGACGTGCAATTGCTGTTCCGGGTGGGGGACGGGGGCCCTGAATCGTCGCTGACGGTGGTGTGCATTGACGTGTGGAGGAGGAAATTTCCAGAGTTTTGGGTTTTGGGAGTGGTGAGAGCGTCGAGCATGGGTTTTTAACTTTTTCTGGTTCGGTTCGGTTAATAAACCGAACCGAACTGAAATAATCCGAACCGATAAAAAAAGGATGGTTATTTATCATTACCCGAACCGAAACCGAAACCGAACCAAAATACACGAAATTTTCGGTTCGGTTCGGTTCGGTTCGTATCTCGATTCGGTTTTTCGGTTCGGTTCTGACACCCCTACCGGTGGCTACCCCACCACAAGAAGACCTCACTCGGGGGCCTAACTGGCGCTCGCCCTCGCCGGCCACTGGCAAAAAGAAAAGGGAAAGCAAAAAAAGAAAGGATAAAAATAAAAAAATATATAAAAATATCTATGTCTGCGTCGACTGTGCCACGTAAGATAACCAGTGTCCATGTTAGCAATTTCTGGCCTAAATTAGCCGGATGGACTAAATTTGTACTAATATGAAAGATTTATGACTAAATTGGTTCAGTACTAAATTGATTCAATTGAAAAGACCAAATCTTAGTTGGCTTCCGCATATATAACTTCATAGTTATTTTACTAACAAGTTTTTTTGAAAATAGAGACATATAAATACCCTCACAATTAACTTATATGCCCACATGATTCGAGTTTTTTTTTTTTTTTCGAGATCAAGTCGCCTTCTTTCATTAATAGATTATAATCATGTCGAGTCGATTTCGAGCATCTCAAATTTCCTACTCGAATTGAACTCGAGCATAAATACCTTTATATGCTCGAGTCAAGCTTTGAGTATCGAATAGCAGATCGAGTCGAACCAAGCTCAAGAGCACCGTATCGACCAGACTCGACTCGAATACACCCAAAGAGACAAAATGCCATATTCCCCTATTATTTATACCAAATTGTCGGGTGAGCGAGCGTCCGGCGGCGGGCACCGATGCTTGGGTGCAGGAACCATTTTTCCTCGGATGCTCAGTCCAATCCACATCGACGTGGAGCACTCTCATATGCGGACTCGTACTTTGAGAACCACACGAGCCCAACGATCACGCGAAGACGCTCGGCTCGTAAACGACTAGAATCCAAACCAAAACAACATAACTTCCCCCCGTCATTCTTAATTAATAGTTAATTACAATGGTTATGTCGGAGCTGCTCAGTATTAGGGAACGTTCATCGCACCCTCGTTTCGTTCATGCACCACGGAACAATCTCGTTTATTATAACAGGAGAGAGAGAGAGAGAGAGAGCAAGCAGTTCTTGGTATGTGGGAAAACCAGCTTGGAGATCTATGAAACCACCCATTAGAAGTGAAGAAGCCAGTATCATGTGAATGAGATTGAGTGGAGATTAGTGCAAGGGCATGAAGGGAATTCCCACGCTCTTGTAACTCGACCATGTAAATAACTTGTCGACCCATTTAGTGTTTTTTTTTTTGGTCGAAATCGACCCATATAGTTTATTAAGCAAATATTTAGTAAATTTTTAAGTAATAATGCTCTATAAGTGTAAGTATATAAAAAAAGTTATCAAAGTTTCAACTTTGGTCCCTCGACTTTTGCTTAATTACCAAACTGCCCAAAAATGGGAGTTGAGAGAAAGAAAGTGAAAAAAACCCACGCGGGATTAACGCACAAAACCGCTTCCCCACTTGCCCACGAACATCCCACGGTTTTCTTCATCACTCGCACCGCTCTGCTCTACTGCTCTCGCCGCCCCCACGATCGCGTCCTTATCCGGTCCACCCTATAAATAAAACCCACCAACCTCATCCCTCTTCTCCATCTTCTCCCTCATCGCCATTCACTGTCTTCACTGTCTTCACAGTCTTGCGCAGACCACACCAAGACTCCAAGTCCATCGCTCTCTCTGTCGAAATGTTGTTCGATCACAAGCTCAGATCATCCTCCTCCCCGTGCCTCCTCTTCTGCTGCTTCCACGGCGGGCATGCCACCGCCTACCACGAGGCCGCCACCTCGGACTGCGGCGACGGCCACCGCCGCAAGGCGGCTCGGTTACCCTGCTCGTGGCTCCGCTCCACGGCTGAGGAGCTCCCGCTGCCAGAGATCCGGCACAAGTGCCGAAGCCTCATCGCTCAGATCGGGAGGTGCCGGAGGCAGGGCCACGTCGCGGCCTCGGAGTTTGGGTATGACCCCATGAGCTACGCGCTCAACTTTGAGGACGATCGGAGCCGGGAGTCGGATGAGGAGTTCCCAGCGAGGAACTTCTCGGCGAGGCTGCCGGTGTCTCCGGATCGGCTGCCGATGGCGAAGATGCCGAGGGAAGTCGCAGCGTGCAGTTGAAGTCTTTTTCTCTAAAGATCCTTTTGATTTTTTGATCGACAAGTTGGGCTATCAAGAGTCCTTGGAGGGATCCATGCCTGTGCATATTGTAGATTTCGAGATCTCAAATTCATGGAAAATTTGTTCGGAAGTTGAGATTGTGACAATAGAAAAATGTAATATTCTGGTCATTCACAAATGAAGAGTACTCGTGACTTTACGGGATCAATTAAGAAAAATATACAAAATTTTCTAAATATATCTATATTTTTAACATCTTCTCAAATTCAAGGTGATTTGAAAATGGTTAATTTGAGTTTGAAGAAAAGATCTAGAAAACGCCTAGGTGGATATGTTTTGGTGAGAATATTAGCTGTTCAACGGATGAACAATGCCATGAAAATTATGATATCGAATGAAATGACAGTCTATTTCAACATATTTAGTTCGTTCATTGAAAACATTAATATGTGCTATTTGAATAGCGCTTCGGTTGTCGTAATAAATGACTGTTTTATTATGTTAACACACTCATGTCTTCTAGTAGTGCTAGCGTAACCATGGTAATTTTGGGGATCACTAGCCCAGTCTACATCAGGATAAGCCATCAACTCAAATGTAGACTAAGCAGAAAAGTAAAGGCCATGAAGTAACGTACTCTTGATGTAGCAAAAAATTCGAAAGATTGCAGTAAAATGAGTCATACAAGGCGTAGTCATGCACTTACCAACAATATGGATAGTAGAGGCTATACCAAATTGAGTAACAGTGAGATATATAAGATTGTCAATTAATTGTCAATAGAGTGTAGGATTCGAAAGAGGAGCCCTATCTTTGGCATCAAATTTGGCATTTGTCTCAACATGAGTTGTAATGACTTTGTTGTCAGTGAGTCTGGCTCAAGAGATAAGATCAGTGGCATACTTAGCTTGTGAAAGATAATAACCAAAGGAATCTGAATGAACCTCCAAGCCTAAAAGCTTAGTCGCCCAAGATCTATCATTTTAAATTGTTGATTGAGATATTGCTTAAGTTTTGAAATGCCAATATGATCATCACCTGTAATATACATGTCGTCCACATACAAGAGCAGTATAATATACCCACGATATGTGCGTCGAACAAAAAAACCATGGTCATAGGGACTAGATTTAAAGCCAAGAAATTCCATGATGGAGCTAAATTTGGAATATCATGCACGAGAAGCCCGTTTCAAGTCAAATAATGCTTTGGATAATCTACACACTTTGTTGAAAGAATGAGTTTATCCCGGAGGGGGCACCATGTAAACTTCCTCAGTAAGATCACCATTTAGGAATGCATTTTTAACATACATCTGAAAATAGAGACCATCATTTAACTGTAGCAACAACAAGAAGACTACAGATAGAAGTAAGGTGCACAATAAGGGCAAAAGTCTCTTCATAATGTACTATGTAGTCCTGAGTAAAGCCTTTCGCCACTAACCGAGCTTTGTAACAATCTACAGTACCATCTACCTTTGTTTTGATCTTATACACTCATCTACAACCTACAGTGCACTTACCGGGAGGCAAATCAACCAAATCCTATATATGAGATTTGTCTAAGGCCTACAACTCATTTGCCATTGCTTGCTGCCAATAGGATGAGTACTGGCTTCTTTATATGCGCGAGGTTCATAAAGGAAAGCAATTTTCATTACAAAGTCGAATAAAAGGTTGACTTATTCTAATGGAATGACGGACAAAGGATAATGGAATGTCAGCCGGTGGAGAATCCGCAGATAGAGCAAACATGTCAAAAGTGGCTGAGGTGGTACCGTCAGTAGAACCTACATCAAGATTAGAAGAAGATGGAGGCAGTTCTAGAGAAGAGGATTCACAGGTGGATGGTAGGTGTGAGAACTCTTGAGAATAAATCCACTGAAGTGTTAGTGAAAAAAACAACATGAGGTGATGACAGGAAGGGATGAATAGAGGAAAGTCTCTTATGTTTCCCAAAGGTAACATGACAAGACACCTGAAGACTATTAGATATATGATCCCAACATCTATAATCTTTGTGCTTAATGCAATACCCATGGAAGAAACATAAACGGGCACAAGGCTCTAACTTCGTGCGTTCATGTTGGACAAGATGTACAAAACAAGCACTATAAAAGACTCGAAGAAGATTATAATTGAGGACACTACCATATTGGCGCTCATAAGGAGATATGTTATCTATTACAGGTGATGGTATACGGTTGATGGTGTATACAACAGTATGACAAGTCTCTCCCCAAAACTGTTTCAGACAAGAAGCAAAGACTAGAAGAGTGCATGTAATATCTAAAATATGTCTGTGTACATTGTGCTCGAAAATTTTGCAGGGAAGTTCCTCAACAAGAATGATGAACAATATTTCATTTTGGGAGAGAATTCTAAGAAATTTAGTGTCTCTAAAGCATTGCATTATCAATACGAAAGATTTTGATATATTGAGAAAATTGTGTTTTTATCATGACAATAAAATCACGGTAGATACGAGTATAGTCGGATCGATTTTTCATAAGATAAAGCTATGTATAGATTACAAAATAGCGAGAGCCTCCCATAGTGGGAGTTGGAGATGGTTCCCAAATATCAAAGTGGATAAGATTAAAATGAGCATGGGAGACAGACTCACTGAAATCAATTGGCAATGCATGATATTTTCCCAATTGACAAGGCGGTCAATCAAATTGTTTATTTTCAACGGGACCCAAATGATCACTTGAAATCAAGGATCATAGTCTATAAGAAGAAATATGACCTAATTAAGAATGACAAGTTTCAAATGACATGGTGGCAGTACAACTAGCGAAGGAGCTGGGAATATTCAGGGAAATAAGATCAAATAGGCATCGCACTATGCGATATATCCCAATAGTCTCTCCTGTCCATGGATCTTGCACATGATAACCATAAGAAGAGAAGTAAATATCGAAGCCAAGTTCACACATTTGTTTTACTGATATCAAATTTAGAGACAGTTTGGGAATCATATATGTGTTAGGCAATGATAATGTGGATGTTGAGATGTTTCTTGTGTGTCTGACTCTCTTTGTAAATTATTAGCTTTGTGAATAATAGGGACATGTGAAGTGAATGATTTGGACCGAAACAAATTGGAATATAAAGTCCTATGACTGCAGCAATGGAGTAAAAAAACTACGAATCAGAAGTACTTGAAGTGACAGACACAACTAAATGAACAGAGGAGCTAGAGGTACCAAATTCTCGAAGAATGGAATGAAGACCCTCTAATGAAAAAGTGATAGACAATCCATCAAGTGAAGTTTTTACGGTAGCGGCAGTGATAGATGAATTTGCATGTGGACCTTGATTTCGGGGTTTGATTAACCATCCCTGTAAGTTGCTTAGGTTGTATTTGATGGCAATTGGAGATCGCAATTTCATATTTATCCATAATATGCACTTCACCGTAGATTGGACAAAAGATGTGAAGAAGCCAGAACCTGGAAAGCCAATATGGAACAAATAAGGCCAAAAAGGCACGCAGAACGTTCAAGTACCTGGGGAATCGGTCTGAGATGGCCAAGAACTAGTTTAAAAGTGCTTGAACCGGTTAGACTAGCTCCTCGGAACCGGTCATCAGTCAACGACCAATGGTGACCTGGCAGGATGACGTAAGAAATGACATAACCGTGACGTCAGCAAATCTCTCCGGAGCTCTGGTCACATGCGTTGCACATGGGCGTGTCCGTCTCATGCGTAGTAGATATGAGCGGCGCGTGAAGGCCCATGCGGTGTCTGTTGGCGGAGGAGTTTGGCCGGTTGGACTCCTTGGGAGACTAGGAACCTAGTGGTGGTGATTAGGGGTGTCAAAAAAACCCAAGCCAATCCGGCCCGACCCGAAATTTTAAGGTATTTTGGAGTCAGGTCTTATTTTCTATTTTCTATGGGTATGGATTTTAGATGTGGGTATTTATTAGGATAGGGCTGGGCCGGGCCGGGCTTTTTTGACCCGGTACCAAATATAACCCTAGCCCCCCCTCTCTCCCTCTTCGCTCTCTTCTCTCTCTCTGCGCCGAGACCCACCTCCCTGGCGAGCTCCATCTCCCCATCGATCCTTTCCGCCAGAGCGACGGCTGTCACGGTGATGGACCCGTCCCCGTCGATGTCGTACACCGAGAACGCGTCCCTCAGGTTCTCCATCGCCTCGTCCGGGTTGACCCCCTTGGTGTTTAGCGCTCCACGAACTCCCCGAAGTCGATGAACCTGTCCCCGTCGGAGTCCACCCCACGGATCATCTTGGCCAGCTCCCCCTCCGTCTCCGGGTGGCCAAGGGAGCCCATGATGGACCCTAGCTCCGACACTGAGATCTTGTCGTCCCCGTTGGCGTCGAACTTCCTGAACACTTGCTCCAGCTCCTCGATCTAGGACCGGGACCCCATTGACGAGGACCGCAACCCCAGCGGGGTGGCCAATGCGGACCCCCTTGCCATCGCCATGGTGGGTTTCTTCTGACGGAAGAGGGATCGGAGACCCATGATCGGAAACCTACCGATTCGAACATGGTGATCGTGGAACGGAAATGCAGGCTATCGGGAAGGGCAAGCAACGCGGTTCGTGATGATTGGTTTCTTTGGGGAGATGAGAAAACGGAATCCCGATGGGGTGGGATTGATCTGTGTTCGTTGTGATTTTGGGGGGGAGATCTTGCGGTTTTTGATACGTAAATGCAAAAAGAGAGAAACAAAGGAGGAGGAGGAGGTACAGAACAAGCTGCAGAGAACAAACCCTAAACCCGACTCGGACCGACCCGACCCGACCTTATTCTTGGAGAATATGCTGAACATGGTCTTGGGTCGGGTCGGGTCAAGCGAGACTCTATATATTTCGGGTCAGGTTGGGTATCGTGAAAGCCCGACCCGACCCGACCCATTGTGGTGATGTATTGTAAAAATAGTGACCAAAATGCGTTGGAAAATCATTTACAGGCGACGGGCTTCAGTGGGTCCAAGACATGGCAGTGCGTGTGGCCGATATTATCGTTCTTTTGCTATGAAAGTTTAGAATTTGATTCTTC